GGACGGGGCGCGGCGCTCGCACGGGGACCCCGCAGCGTCGGTTCCCCTCGCAGCGGTCCAGGCCCTGGGGACCCTTGGGCACGACGCCTCTTGCTCGCCTTTGTTGTCGCGTTCACGGAGGACGGAGTAGCCCCTTGGAGAGTGAGCCCTGTCCGCCCCAGAAGAAAAGAGAAGTACTTTTTTGAAAGGAGCCTAGGAAAAATAAGGAAAGGCACCCAGGGACTGAGCATTTCAAATGCGAGATGCATTTTGGCGATTAGGAAGTAAGCGGTGTGGAGGTATTTACGGAAGGTAGCAAAGGTAGACATTGAAAATAATTTGGAAGGTTTTGGGGAATCAGCAATGGAACCCTAAGACATTTTAGGGGTAATGTGGCATTCAAATATTAAGTCGTGAATCGGTCATCAAAGTCCTCATTTTAAAGTATGTGTGCAACTCTGATGCCAGCAGTCGTACTTACAACATCCTCTTCAGGAACCTCGCAGTGAGCCCATGTTTGGGTGTTTTTCAAACTGTGATGCTACCCCGGTCGGTGGGGGGGCGGATTCGCAGAGCTACTGGGAGAAACCTAGCGCTGCTGCTTCCGGAGCATTCATTTTACCTCTTCCTAAAGGTATTTCTAGGATAAAACATGAATATATTTATGGGGCAACTACAACATTTGTATTCATTTTTAAAAGTAAACCACATGTCAAATTCTGTTTGGGAGTGCCTTGCGTAACAAGTTCAGGTCCTGGGGTGTAGACATGTGTAGGGGCGCTTTGCTGGAAAGATTTGAGAAACATTCTCTTAGGTTAGGTGTAACACAGGTAATAAAAACAATCCGAGGTTTTCACCATCAGGCTACATCATGAATTGAAGTAAATCCTTTGAAACCTTTAGAATATAGAGGATCAACTTCCTCTACTTGTAAGTTTCATAGATCATGCAGGCGCTTTCAGGAGTCCACGTTCACACCCAGCCCACGGCTGGGATGGGTTCAACTCTAGGCAGGAAGATGTGTTTCACATTTTAGGAGCGGGAAACCGCTAAGTTGTATAATGTGGCCAAGGGTTGACCAGGCAGGCGAGAGATAAAGGGAAGAATCACTACATTCTTTGATAAGGTGTAGGAAATAGGTGGAGCAGAAGTTGTAAACAGAAGCTGAGGATCTGCAGATTTGTTTTTCTGAGTCTGCTAGTAAAAGAAGCCAAAAGGTAAAGGTGAGGAAGCTAATTGAATCTGAAGAGGGCTGCATCGTTTAAAGCATAAAAATAGACGTATTTGGAGGGCATCTGTAAAAACATTGTAGTTGGGACAGTTATTTGAGTGAGAAAAGCTGATAACATAGAGGAAAAAAATCAAGAGAAGGGCTATATTAACCAAGGACCAGACAATGTAAGAGAGTCTATTAGAATTTGATAAAATGTCGGGACCAGCAGTTACCGTAATGGCTATGTCGCTGGACTCCCACGTAGTCGACCACGGTTCGTTTCCCAGACCCAGTGGCTTAAAACTCACGCCAGGCATGTGTGCGTGTGTGCCCAAGATCCTGGGAGGAGAATGGAGGAGAAGGGATTGCGGCGTGGCCATCCCCCCTCGGGGGTGATTTCTCGCTTTCTGTCTCTCTGCCCTCTCTCTGTCTGGTGAGCGCACGCCCCCTATGGCAAAAACCTCTTAAAAAAAAAAAAAAGAATTTGATAAAATGTCAAACCGGGAATAATCCATGTTATCACCTGCAGAGAGCGTCAAGGAATACGGTGTTGTAGAGTAGCCCACGTGAAGGGGCACGGAAGCCTCATCGAGGAAGCTCTCTGGAGGAGACAAGATTATTGTGAGAAAACTGGAGGATAGGATCCATAAGAAGATGTACAGTTCTAAGATTTGTAAACATTTAAAAATATTATGCATTATACTGTTTTAAGATAAATTTAAATGCTGGGTTCTCTTTGAGCTGTTATAAAAAGCATATTAAATATTTTTATGTGAGCAGTGTCTGAAGTGGCTGACCATGTACATTGAATCTGGTAACACCCCTTGTATCTGGAGGCCAGATTATTGCCGAACAGAATTCCACAATCAAGGTAAGGGAAATGCATACAGGAAACTCCAAAGCAAGACTCCCATTTAGAGTAAGGTCATCTATTTTACATAAACTTCAAGTCAGCTCAGTAGTGTAGGGTTTTTTTTGCACACAGTGGCTAGAAGGTGAGTGACTGCAACACTCAGCAGAATACGGGCAGCTGTTGGGGCGGAGAGGACCCAAGAACCGAAAGTTCAGCCTGGGTGATCCAGTCTTTGGGCTGATAGCCTTGCCCAGCACCTCTCGAGCCTCCGTGTCCAATTGTGGAAGGTCAAAATTACAGTCCTGAGTGTCAAATCCAAGTTTGTTTTCATTCCATAGAATTTAGTTTATGATAGGAGAGCTGTGTATAGTACGTTTTAGACATCATTCCACTAGAAATGGTTAAAGTCATAAAAACTCAGGTGGGTACATACAGGGACGATTCTTAGTCACCCCTGCAGAATTCAGTTGTGAGACATCTCATTGCCCTGAACGCTGGCTCAATTGTCATTGAGAGGGAGCTTCTTAACTAGCCCAATAACCGAATGTTCCAAGTTTTTGTTAAGAGGACCTCTTATGAGAAGACAGTATCCTCCAACCAAAGTATCCTCCCACCACTAAAATACATCCTAAGCTTAAATTCCAAATCACAGTCCGAGCAGCAAGTTCAACAGGATGTGCTTGAAAATTTCCACAGTGCCTCCCTCCCCACCCTCTGAGTCAAAGTGTATCCCTACCTGTTAGAAAAATCTGCCCTGCCTATTACACCTGTCAAGCCTCATTTCTTGAACTGTACATAAATCTCAATGAAAAGATTACACTTTCCCAGGTTTTTACAGACTGAAAAGCAAAGTATCTAGAATGCTACAAGTTAATGGCAGGAAAAAGAGCCATCACATAGGCATGTGTGGGAACCCAGCAATATTAACATATTCTTATGTTACTTATTTGGCAACCTATAAAATACCAGTGTATAGAATTAGGAAGGGTATAATTATTACGATGGTATTTCCTGCATTTGTTCTCTCTTCTCTGCCTAACTACCAGCAATTTTTGTCCTCTATTGGAAGAATAAAGCAGATTGGAATAAAGCACACTATGTTCATGTTTGTACAAAAATTAAATCACTTAAAAAAAATAGAGAGTCAGTGTAGAAGGACGATACAGGTTCTAATATTAGATTACCTGGGTTCAAGCCTTGATTTTGTTTCATATTGACTGTGGGTGATTCTGGACACGTACCCGCTGTTTGATTGCATTCCTGTTTAACGTGAAGGTTGCTAACTCCAGAAGGTGTTCTCATGCCTTAGTACTGCTCAGCATCTGCTGGCGTGCTGGCTTGAGCTCTGATGCCAGGACCCACATTCAGTTTTTAGTTCTGTGAGTCGAGGCCGGGCCTGAGGTTGGCATTTCTTTGTCCAGTGAGGCCATCTCTAGTGACTTGAGGACAGCACTTTGAGAACCACTGCTTCAGAGCGGGGTTTCCTTACCTTTCTCCCACCTGGCATTTGGGGCTGGGTAATTCTTTGCTATGGACAGTGTTCTGTGCACCGGAGGACATTCTGTGCCTGTACCTGCTAGGTACCAGTAGCACTCACCTCCTCGTGACAGCCAAGGGGTCTCGAGGGAGCAATATTGGCCCTGGTTGAAAACATTGCTCTAGACATATCAATTCCAAGTGATCTCATGCTTTCCTCCTCATGCTTTTGTGCGGGAGGGTTAGGTGGAAGTTGGGTCGTGTTAATAGAACTTGGAATTGAAAGGAAGGTTATGATTCTTCATACCTCACTGTTTCAGTTTGTCCTGCTGTCCTGAAATACCCCACGTATGTTAACTCAGAACTGATAGGTGACAGAGTTTTAAAAACTTAAAATTTGCATACCATAAAAGTCATCCTCTTAAAGTATGCAGGTTATTGATTTTTACTGTTATCGCAAGGTTGTGCAGTCATCACCACTGTCTGATTCCAGGAACATTTTCATTGCCCCAGAGAGAAACTCCACAGGGAGAAATGGAGGGGGAGCTGCTCCCCCGGCATCTCAGAGCAGTGGTGGACCTACCCTCCTGAGGATTCACCTCAAGGGTAAATGTAGAGGAAATGATTATTTGGAAGCCATGTTTAACAAATAGGAAGGAAAATTTAGTTTTGTGTAAGTCTGAAGGATAAAAAGACCACCTCTCACAACTGTATTACCATATTGAGTTGTTTCTTCTGATTGGCCAGAGGCAGCTTTCTAATCTTGACTCTATTACATATAGGAGTACATTAGGTTAGAGGGCTCCAGGTGCCAGAGTGCCCAGCTGCATAAGAATTATTTCATTAGCTTGTTAAAAACAGATTCCCAACTTTGGGGCCAGCAGGTAGCATGGAGGTTAAAGTGCTGGATCCCACATAGCTGACTTCACTGTTTGAGTCCTGGACCCGACAGTTTGGAAATCATGCCAGACACGTGTGTATGTGTCCAGAATCCTAAGAGGAGAACAGAGGGGAAGAGATTGCAATGTGCAGTCTCCCCCAAGAGGGTGATTTCTTACTTTCTCTCTTCATCGAGCATAGGCACCCTATAGTGAAAATTAGAAAAAAAAAAAATTAAAAGATTCCCAGCTTCTTACATGCACTCACATGCACACAAGTTCTGATTCACAAGGTGGAGCCAAAAGATGTTTATTTTCAAAATGAGAACTTCTCAGGTGATTGTCAGACATACATATACACCCAGGTTCGGGACCACTGCTTTAGACTTTTCAAAATATTCAGTGTGTGTTTGTTTTCTCATTCATTCCTTAAACTTCACATCCTCTTTAAGATATTTTTTCCCAGTCTCTACAAAGAAAAATTGACACACTCAAAGTTACGCATCAAATTAAGGACAAAGCTGGGACTAGAAATCAGTTCCTGCTGGGCCAGCAGGTAGTATGGTGGTGAAGGCTGGATCCCACGTGGCCGACTCTGCAACCTGAGCCACAGACCTGGCAGCTTGAAAAGCATGCTGGGCACGGATGCATGCATGCCCAAAATCCGAGAGGGCATTGGAAGGGATTGAGGTGTGCCCTCTCCCGCCCCGCCCCCCAACCCTGGGGGTGTGATTTTTCACTTTCCCTCTCTGTCTCTCTCCAGTGAGCACATATGCTCTATGGCAAAAATCTTAACCAAAAAAAAAAGGAATTCGTTCCTACCATTTAAAGCAATGTTCGGGGCCAGCAGGTGGTGTGGTTAGGGGTGTTGGACTCCCATGTGGCTGGCCACGGTTTGGGTGGCTTGCTTTCTCTCTCTCTCTCTCTCTCTCTCACACACGCGCGCACACTCACTCTGTCCCTTTCTGGTCAAATTTAAATAAAGTCAAATAAAATAATTCTTTAAAAAAGTGAAAAAAAGATAAAGCAATGTTCACTGAGGGCTTACTCTGTATTGGGCATTGTGCTTAAGTTAGTAAAGTATTAAGTGAGATAAGATCCTCACTGCTGCCTCTCTTCTGAACAAACCTACAAGAAAGAGATTGAAGGTCAGCCCTGTAATGCAGTGGTTGAAGGAGCCGGAACCCACATGGCTGACTGTGGTTCAAATCATGGCCTTGGTGGCTTGAAAAACACACTGGGTGCATGTGCATGTGTTTCTAAAACCCCAGTGAGAGGGGAAGAATGGGAGAAAAAAGATCGTGGCATTACCATGCCCCATTGGAGATTGTCTGTTTCTTTCTCTGATGAGTCCAGGTGTTTTCTGGCAATTGGAAAAAAAGGGGGGGGGGCAAAAAAGAGATTGATTTATTTGGTTTATTTTATTATTTTTTTAGTTGCCAGGGAATGAGATCACTCACCAGAGAAACATGGAGCGACAGGAAGAGAGAGAGAGGGAGAAGGCACTGTCCAGTGGGTACGATCACACCACAGTCCTTTCTCCTCCATTTCTTCATCCTCTTGGGATTAGGGGCATGCATGTGCAAGTGATTGGCATGTTTTTCAAGCAGATGAGGCCAGGTTGTGAGTCGTGGTTGGTCATGTGGGATTCAGCTCCTTGAATCATTGAGTACAGGGCTGGCCCTAATTTTTTTTTTTTTTTTTGGAGAGGTTTTTACTATAGGGCCCGTACGCTCACCAGGAAGACTGAGAGAGACAGAATATGAGAAATCACACACGCGCACACACACACACCCCCCAGGAGGGATAGCTACGCCACAAACCCTTCTTATCCATTCTCCTCTTGGGATCTTGGGTATGCATGCACATACACCCGGCGTGAGTATTTTAAGCCACTGGGTCTGGGACTTGAACTATAGTCGGCTACATGGGAGTCCAACGATGTAGCCATTACTCCATCTGCTGGTCCCCCTATTTTTGTATTAATGGGCTATTAGCTTAACAACTGTAAAAAGAAAGCAGGTGCTATTTTAAAATTATTACTACATTACTAGTGAGACAACTGGAGATAGCATGAAATAAAAATTAAAATTGGTTTCTACATATATTAATTTTTTTAGTTTATTTAAAAAATATTTTCCTCATGGAGAAAATCTGCACACCAGAGAGACAGAGGGAGAGGGAGAAAACACCCCCAGCTGGGTATGGTCATGCCACAATCCCTTCTATATTTCTCCACGCTGTCTGGATTTTGGGTGTGCATGAACATGCACCCAGCATGTTTCTCAAGCTGTCAGAGCTGGTATTCGAAACACTGAATGGTGGTTGTGTGGCATTGGGCTGCCTTAACCATTTGACAGTGAAACTGGCTCTCCATTTATTCATTACTGAACCTCTACTATGTATTAGATTAATATCAAGAGATGGCTCACAAGGATCATCTTATCACTTCTCCGAAATAGACACCTAAGTGAAAATGACTTGCTGTGAAGATCTTTAAGAGAATTCCCTTGGCCTCAGCTGGTGGGTGGTGTGCTTAAGATCCCACATGGCCGACGGTGGTTCGAATCCTGGATGCAATGGCTTGAAGAACATTTTGGACACCCAGTAGGAAGGTAGATTCCTACAGTATTTATTAAGAGCATTTTGGCAGCACTTATCAAAAAATACAGTTTGACCTAGAAATTTTTATTCTTTCCTAAATAAATAAAATGTATGAGGACAGAAGTCGACCTGAGTATTCCTTTTTAAAATTATTTTATTTTGCTTTATTTATTTATTTATGTGTTTATTTATTTTAATTTGATCAGAGTGAGAGAGAGACAGAGGGAAAGTGAGAAAGCAAGCCTAGCTTTTATATTGTCACTATCTAGTTTAGCCTCATCCTATAAATGTATAAACCTACTAAATGGGTGTTCCTGCCCTTTTCCCTCCAATCCTTCATACTGTGGCCAGTACGATCTTTATACAGTACAAATCTCATGCTTAAAATCCTTCACTTAGTGCCCACTGCTCTTAAGATAAAGCCCGAATGTGGCTTCTAAGGTTATGCAGGGTAATGCTTCTTTCTTTATCCCTGTGTCTGATGGTTTTTCCTTTCTTCTTCCATGTCCTCCAAGTCTCCGTCCCCCACTTAGTCCATACAAACTTCTTTGCACATCCCACTCTCACTTCTGATCTTTCTGTTTGCTGTTTACACCTACAGTCCTGTGAGTTAGCAAAGTGTAAACTATGCGAGGATGACCTGCATGCGTATTCTCAGTGACTGATTTCCTTGTGAAACCGGCTTGCATTACTGGAAGTAATCATTGTTGGCTCAGCTACATTTTCTTCTAGAGACAATGTCCGCTATTAGGAAAAGTACGTTTCTTGGCTACATCATGTTGACCAGAACAAAGTTAGTTCTAATGCAGGATATACAAAGGGGCTTTAAAAAGTTCTTGAAAAGATGGGATTAAAGTATAAGTTTATTTTGGATGCAAAAAAAAAAATTAAATCCATGCATAATTTTTTAGAGTATGCATTTTCTACGAACTTTTTGAAGACCACTTGTATTTGAAATGTTAATAAAATATCTTGCCCAACGATAGTAAATATGACTCATTCACCTCTGTGAAGATATTTTTGCTCTGAGTAAAAGAATTTTTTTTTTCTTTTTCCTTTTTTTTTGAGAGGTCTTTGCTATAGGGCGTGTGCGCTTGCCAGACAGACAGACAGAGAGACAGAAAGTGAGAAATCACCCCCCAGGGGGGATGGCCACGCTGCAATCCCTTCTCCTCCATTTTCCTCTCAGGATTTTGGGCACGCATGCACACGTACCCAGCGTGAGTTTAAGTCATCAGATCTGGGACTCGAACTGCGGTTGACTACGTGGGATGACTACATAGCCATTACAGTAACTGCTGGTCCCATGAGTAACAGAAATTTTGACCTGATCTGGCTTAAACAATAAATGTATCTCACATAATTCGAGGTTTCAAGGTTTTTTAATGCAGTGGTTCAGTTTTTACTTCAAGAACCTGGGTCTGTCCCTCTTCTGCTATGTTGGCCTCATCCTAACACTGATCTCTGTAGTGTCATAAGATGACCGCTGGCAGAATTGAAGCAAGATGCTTATTCACATCAGAGGAGATTGGCTTTTTCCCTTGGAAGCATCTTTCTTGTATCTCTTTGATCCAAGTTGTCATTGCCTCATGTATCCTTGAGTCACTGGTAAGCGAGGGTTAAGGTACCATGATTTTCTGAGTTTGTGTCTGTAAGTAGAATGGTGCTGGGCAGTAACCCCGTGTACACCACAATTTCTCTTTTACTAATGGAAGAGATTACAGTAATAGTATAAAAGAAATTTCTCATAAAGGAAGAAGTTTCTTACTCTTCTCCTTTTTGAAATATATTCAACTCTCAAGATGAGAGAATACCACACACATCACCCCTCCCCGAAGAAATCAATGTAGTTAACCATGGAATCCTTTTTCCCCTTCAGATCCAGACATTTAACGTGGATGCACCATGCCAGACCGTGGAAGATTTAACGAGTGGGGTTGTGATGGCCCAGGTTCTTCAAAAGATGTAAGAATAAATTGCTTATCCTTATATATGTTCATCTACATGGATATTTATTAGATTGAGCACATGGATTTAAAACTTAAGTTTTTACATGAACCTTGTGTTGTATGTAAAGTAAGAACTATAAGCAGCAGTAATAATTTTGATAGTATTATACTTCTCAGATAGAGATTAATTGCAAGTTTAATTAGGGCTATACTTTTTTCTTTAAGAATTATTTTATTTGTTATTATTTTTTAAAGAATTATTTTAACTTTATTTATTATTAGTATTATTATTATTTTAATTTGACCAGAGAGAGGTACAGAGAGAGCAAGGAAAATGAGAAAGCAAGCTGCCAGGTCTAGGACTTGAGCCACAGCTCGCCATGTGGGAATCCAATGCCTTTAACCTCCACGCCACCTGCTGGTCCCAGTTTTAATACTCCAATGGTTTTAGCAGAATTATTCTAGTATTTTTCAGCATGTGCTTGGCAGAAATTTTCATATTTTTGCTATTGTAGGAAAAACCAATAGGCTTACTTGTTTCTTTAGTATTTTGTTCAGATGTTGTCTTATCAGTGAGGTCTTCTCTAACCACCCATATAAAATAGCAACACCCATTCCTTGTAAGCTCCATTTAGTCTTTAATGCTCTCTGGAGTATGTGACATCATCTGAAAGGCCATCTATTTGGTTGTCTGTTTATCTACCCTGGCCCTCCCTTCCACGAGCACACATACAGAGAATGTGAGCTCTACACAGAATCAGGGAATTTATTTTGTTCATTGTGTCCTAGCAACCAGGAAATGCCTGGTTTGTGGTGGAACCATATGAAATTGTCATTCTTTATAGGCTGAAATGGTCAAATATCAACAATTTCTTCTGGTTAAATCTACATCATGTGTGTTTGTTGAGTAACTAAAGGAATAAAATATGTGTTTAGGATATATAAAACATATCTAATCCATTTCAGCTAAGTACTTTGAATGCATAATAATTATAAAATTGATATTATATGGATATCATTTTTAGACTAGGAATTTTTTTTTTTTTTGGTAGAGGTTTTTTCCTATAGGGCGCGTGTGCTCACCAGAAAGAGAGAGAGAGAGAGAGACAAAAAGTGAGAAATCACCCCCCCAGGGGGGATGGCCATGCCACAATCCCTTCTCCTCCATTCTCCTCTTGGGATCTTGGGCACGCATGCACATGTACCCGGGGTGAGTTTAAGACCCCGGGTCTGGGACTAAAACCACGGTTGACTATATGGGAGTCCAGCGACATAGCCATTAAGCTAACTGCTGGTCCCTAGACTAGAAAATTTTTTTGAGAGAGATTTTGTACTTGCCAGAGGGACAGAGACAGAGAGACAGAAAGCGAGAAATCATCCCCCTAGGGGTGATGGCCACGCTGCAATCCATTTTCCTCCAGTCTCCTCATGTGTACACGTACCCATGTGCCCACCTGTGAGTTTTTACCCACCGGGTCTAGGACTCGAACTCCAGTCAACTGCATGGGAATCCAGCAGTGTGCCCATTATGCCATCTACTGGTCCCTAAATTGGTAATTTTTAAAATAAAGGATTACATATGAATTTAGAAATCATTAGGTTCAGCACGATTTGGAGATATTTTTATATTTTGAAGCCCTGAGCACTTGTCAGCTTGATGGTATTAAAAGTTTGGCATGTAGGTTCCCGTGCAGCAAGGGGTGCTGGATGCTGCTTGTTGGGAAGCTGAGGCTGTATGGGACCTGGCCTGGGTCCATTTCTCAGACCTCTCTATAAAACCAGGCACAGGGAACCAGCAGTTAGTGTAATGGCTATGTCGCTGGACTCCCACATAGTCGACCACGGTTCGCGTCCCGGACCCGGTGGCTTAAAACTCATGCCGGGCCCATGTGCGTGCGTGCCCAAGATCCCGAGAGGAGAATGGAAGAGAAGGGATTATGGCGTGACCATCCCCCCTGGAGGGGGATTTCTCACTTTCTGTCTCTCTGTCTCTCTCTGCCTGGCGAGCACACGCGCCCTATAGCGAAAACCTCTCAAAAAAAAAAAAAACAAAACAGGCACAGTGGCATGCACCTGTCTTCCCAGCTACTCAGGAGGCTGAGACAGGAAGATCATGAGATCTTGGTGAGATTTTGTCTAAAAATAGTAACACAGGCATGAACACACACGCACACATGCACACACACAAGTTTGCATATGTTTAGCTAGAATTTCCTGGACTTCTATTAGAGTCAGTACCAGGGACAGCAAGTGGCATGGTGGTTAAGGTGACTGCATTGCAAAGGACCCGAATAGGTGTTTCTTTTAAGACTACATACAAATGGCCAACTGTATGTGAAAAAATGTTTAACATCACTAATCAGCAGGGAAATGTGAGTTAAAACCATGATGAGATGTTTCCTTACATCTGTTGGTATCACAAAGATGATAGATAACAAGGGTTTAACGTTAAGGATTTAGAACAAAGGGAACCCAGGTACTCTGTTGGTGGGAGGGTAAATTAATACAGCCATTGTGGAAAACTATACAGAGATTCCTCAAAACACTGAAAATAGAATTACCACATCATCTAGCAATTTCACTTCTGGGCGTATATCCAGGGGATATGGGATCAGTATGTCAAAGAGAGAGGTTGCCTAAGTGTCCGTAACAGAAGACTAGATAAAGAAAACGTGGTATACACAGTGCAGTACTACTTGGCCTTTAGAAAGAAGTTTTCATTTGCAGCACCAGGGTTGAACCTGGAGGACATTATGCTAATACCACATGATGTCACTTACACATGGAATCCAGAAATGTTGAACTCACAGAAGCAGAGAGCAGGTTGGTAGTTACTAGAGCTTGGGGATGTTAGGAATTGAGGGACGGTGATGAGAGCGCACAAAGTTTCAGTTAGGAGGAATAAACACAAACGAGCCGATGGATGTGTTTTTAATTTTTTTTAACCTTGAAGCTGCTCGTGTCATCGATGGATCCCACTGTCACACTGTATCTCTTACTCATTCCCTCTTCTAGATAACTGTCTTGTGCCTGAGGTTTTTTTTAAATTGCAGGTGGTGTGCACACTCATCAGAGAGAGGG